TAAATATTTTTCTACATGGTTTTCAATGGTTGCGTGTCTCATCCCGGCTTTTGTGACCTCCCAGATCTTTGAATCTTTTCTTTTCTTTTGCGCTTTTTCATTATTTGCTCTCTTTTCTTTGTGCGCTCTCTCTCTCTTTCTTATGCCCTATTTTCATCATTTTCTCTCTTATTTGAGTTATCTAAAGCCATGACCGGATATGATGGGGATTTCCTACTTATCACGATGCCGCACGAATCAGATTATTACGTAGTTCAGGGGATAAATGAGAAATAAAAGAAAGAAACATTTTTGGGTTTTCAAATTTTCATTAAATAAAAACTTTTGATTTTCCTCTATTACAACGACTCCATCATACAGACTTTAGAACTAAAAAGCAAAGAAAACAGACTCAAAGTAAACTAACAGACTCTAAAAGAAACTGAAATACAGACTCGAAAAGAAAAATCAAGAATACATAAGTGCCTCCAAAACTACTCCAGTGGCCCGCGGGACATCAGTCGGTCTCAATGCGGGCCTACGTGCAAGATCTCATTAGAGGCAATCCAGGTCGTCCATTATCTGGCAAATAAAAGTCATCACTGTGGCGAAGAAAGTGGATCTAGTCATATCCTCGCACTCATGGCATTTCATGACGATATAATCAACAATTCCTCTAATCCTTTCTCTAATGATGCCTTTCTCTTGGAGAAGGCATCCAATTTGTTGAGATCTAGCTTCCAGAACTTGGGTGTCATTATGGCTTTGCTCCTTGAACTGTTGCATCTCCTCTTCCAGTCGAGACATCAATGCATAACAATGTTCCTCTCTGCCTTGAAGTTCTTTGTCTGTTTAGCCATTTCATTCTCGAGGGTAGTTAGCTTTTTCTTTAGATTTGTGACCTCTCTATCATATTTTCATTTTAATTGATGAACAAACCCTGCCCGTCCTTCTGTGTTCTTCGCCTACTTTGCCCGGGCTCTTGCTAATCTACCTTCGGACTTTTCCAAATCAGTCCCATACTCACATACTTTCTGCCTAAGACCGTTTATAAGTCTTTCATATGTTCTTCTCCTCTCCAGGTTTTCAGCAGCTATCTTCATCCTTTGAATCTGGGCTCGGAGGGCTTCATTTTCTCGAGCCAACTTTTTCTTCTCTCCTTCATCAGCAGCGGCCTGCACACTACTATCAAATTTGAGATCTTAGATTTGCCCTTCTAATTTGCTTATTGTAACCCTGTAGCTTTTCTCCTTTGCTAACCAATCCCATTGTTCTTGTGCCCCATCAGTGAATTGTTGTACGTGGAGCCTTTTGGCGGGACGTTCAGGCTCTTGATGGACTTGAACCCTTTTACTATACCAGACCATGTATCTAGGCTCTACCTCACCCTTGGACAAATCCCGTACTCACGTCGGTGGCTCCAGGAACCTACACTGATGCCAAATCTGGCAAACTTTTTCTTCCGGAAATGCATCTTTTGGACCTAGTTCAATGACTTGTCGACTCAAATCTTCATCATGAGGGATAGTTTGGTACCTTCCCAGCTAGCGCAGAACCTTGTGTGGAGCATACGACTGAATACTCTGAAAACCCATTAATAAAAAAAAAGCATACTCCGGCCGATATATAAATGACTTCAGTGACCAGAGCTAACCGAATGTCCACTCAATTTTGCTTGCATTTAAGGAACCCAAATGTGCAAACCATTCCTTTGTACCTTCTAGAAACTCATGACCATTTACCCGGTTTTCATGTTCCTCAATGCAGTTGAGACCAGTCAGACCATAGTTCACGTACCCCGAACAATGACAAAGATATTCTTCCATCCATATTTGTAAAAGCAAGTTGCGACCTTCAAAATAATTTCCCCCAGCTCGACAAAAAGTTAAAGCTCGGTAAATTTCTGCTAGGATCATTGGTATAATAGTGCCATTAGCCTTTTTGATCATGAAGTCAGCCAGCCCTACGAGCCCCAACTCTATATGTCCATCACTCATTGGGTAGATTAGGGTGTCTAAGAATGCCACTACAAAGGCCAGTCCCGACGGGCTTCCCATTTGCCTTTGTTCCCTTGATGACTTAAACTGGTATTCGGAGCCGTAAAACCGTGGGGGTCCCCATAACGGCAGTACATGAAGTAATATGTGCAAAATCCTTCAGCTAAATTTCCATCTTTGACTTTCCGACTAATACTCAGAAGATCCAGAAACTTGTGAGAGGTTACAGCCCTTGGTGCCACTGGGTATCGGCTCCTTAGATTCTCGTTAAGGCCAACATAGCCTGCTATCTCCTCAAGTGTAGGGGTTAACTCAAAATCAGAGAAATGGAACACATTGTGCGCCGGGTCCCAAAATGGTATCAGAGCTTCAATTATGTCTAACCTTGGTTTAATCTTCAAGAGACCAGTGAGCCCGCTTAAAGCTTATATCGCAACACCTCTGCTGACTTCCCCCCAGGTCATTCCACCATATATGGAGTCCTATGGGGATTTCCTCTACAACTTTGAAAGGTACATTTTCAATAGTGCTCATCCTGCACATTTATTTAAAGAAATCGGTTAAAAACATGATTTATTTTGACCTAAAAGGAAGATTATTATTTTTTGCAAAATTGCAACTCAAACAACTTGCTCAAAACAAAACATCTTTGCAAATACGACACTTCATCACTTCAGGAAAGAAGATTTTAGGGTTGTGATTGCTAATTGGCCAAAAATTAAAAAAAGACCATAGGTGGCTATTCTTGCAAAAATAGTTTTCTGGTGCCCTGTCGGGACATTTTTGGCTAATCGCCTAACTTTATTTATGACAAAAATGATAACATTTCATATTTTTGGGTTATTTTTGCAAAAATGGGGTTGGACCCGATGAGGGTTACCTACATATCCCACATACGGTGAGAATCAAACCTGCGTAGTTCAGGAAGTTTTGACGCAACAGAAAAACATGAAATATTTTTTGAAACAATTTTCCCTTCTTTTCTCTTTTTTTTTTCTCTTTTGTTTTCAAAATTTCGGCAGAGTTTCGGTATATTTTGGACACCAGATTTTTCAAAGGCGGGTAATTATCTCTCTCATACCTCAATTTAATTTTTCCAACTTTTCTCCCTTATTCTAGAAGCCGGTCAACATGCAATCCGAGGCAAATAAGTGTACAAGTAGCAAGTAAAATGCACCAGGATGGTCTTTTGATTTCGGGTGCACCTGTCCTAAACGGACCCAACCCCTGTGTTGAGTCCCCAAAGTCAAATGCACATGATGCAAACAAGCGTTTCTACTAAGGATCCGGCATGAGGCTATGTTATTCTAGGTTTAAAAACTTGGATTTATTTGTTCTAGACATGGCTTACCCGAGCGGACAGCTCGAGCCGATGGGGGCAGCGTACCGGGAATACAGAAGCTTTACCGGCTTTGCAACTTGTCCGAGCCTCGTTCTAAAATTGAGATATAGCTCTAACAGAAAAGAAGTCACACGAAGTGCACACTTCCTAGATGATTTAGAAGACTAAGAGAGAATCTCTCGAGGGTTTCGTAATAATTTATATATAGTTCAAATAATATCAAAGTGGCATTCAACACATTAGGCTCAAACATGTAGAAACTAGATAATAAAAAAAGCCAAGTATAACAGTTATTCTTAGCTCGAATTCTTGAACATTGAACTAGAAGTTCTGGGTTCTTATCCCCAGCAGAGTCGCCAGAGCTGTCACACCTCCTTTTTACACCCGAGGGGGATATAAGGGAATTTTTCCAATTAAAGTGACATAAATCGAAATGAAATTATTTTATTTATCTAGAGTCGCCACTTGGAATAATTTATTTGGTGTCCTAAGTCACCGGTTTATTTTAAATCCCAAATTGAGGAGAATTTTGACTTTATTTAAAAGTCTGTGAAACCAAAAATTTTAGGTAAGAAATTCTGTTAACCAGGGAGAAGGTGTTAGGCATTCCCGGGTTCCGTGGTTCTAGGACGATCACTTAACTATTAATAATTGGCCTAGTTATCTGATTTATTACATGTTTTAAACCTAATGTGTATTTTTAACTTTATAACCGCTTTTAATTATTTTAAACCACTTTTTAGGGCTTATGGAGTTATTTCTTGAACAAGTTACGATTATCGTACACTTGCCATTTTGGAACAAACCGCAAACCACGTTACATAAAATGCACCCACAATTCGCGATATGTTTATTCTATTATTGTTCAAAATGGTTATGATTGGGTCACATGAAATGCACACCCGAATTTAGGATTATGTATCACGACTATGCCACGGGAACCATACCCATAGTCACGATGATTTATTATAAACACGTCTAAAGCAAACTACGAATGTTCAAAGTATTTTCTACACTAGTTACGAATGTTCAAAGTATTTTCCACACTAGTTTTGGTATTAGTGTGAGAGCCATAGATTATGGAATTCATTTGTGGATGACACACCTCAATTTATCTTAAAATTCAAAGGATTGTACTCAACTACTAGTAATTCATTAGTTAAAGTCGATGTTTTGTCAAGTTCACGCAGCAGAATTAGCTGAGCCCACTAAATTTCCCTTGTTCAACTTCATTTTGATAGTAATGGTGAGGCATGCAATTTAATCCAAAGTTACAAAAAAATGGAAAAATATTTCATACTTGGTAGGAGAGGCAATAGGGACAAGTATTACACAACTATGACAATTTTATTGAATTGTAACATCCCTAAATGTATTCTAATACTTCCACTGACTAAAACAAGAATAACATAATTATTTCACATTAAACCCAGATTCATTTCATTATGCACGGACCTAATCATTAAAGATTCTCGCTCAGCATTAACTGAATTAGTCGACTAACAGTAGAAATTAGACCCTACATGATCCCTTAGTTATTTAAATCAATTCAAATCCAAACCATGTAGCTAGCTTGATGGATTGCAAGCTCTTAGATAGGCTTGTAGTTGAGCCCAATGAGTGAACAACTCAAGCCCATGAGTTGTCAGTTACCAAACCAAAACATTCAAATGAAAAAAATATACAGGAAACAATTGTCTTGTTGAATAATAAACAAGTTTCAAATCATACTTTTGATAAATTACTTTATACAGCTGAATCTACCAAGTTTGCTGTAACAATAGGCTATGAATCAATCAATTACAGGCCCATGGTTAAACATTCCTGAATAATACTCAGCTGTGGAGTAACAAACAAACTTGATTCACATTATCAAAATAGCTACTCTAATGACTACAATTGAAATTTCCAGTGGTGATCTTCCAGAAATATGTCGGCTTTTCCATGTCTATTGATAATCGGACTTCTGTTTCAGCTTTGAAATCCATGGTTCTGACCATGTTAAAGGTCAGATTCATAAACAACATGGCTTCACACATGCGACCTTCTGTATTACCAAATAAACTCAACTAATAGATGCCAAAATATTGGACAAGAATGATCAAAAAGAAATAATGTACATAAGCTGAAATAAACAGATGGCCAATGCTGTATTTAACACACACAAGAAAATATATTTTCATGGTATAGGGACACTGGATGAACATGGAGTTACATATTCAAAGAAAAGCTCAAGTATTGTTGCATTTAGGTGGATGGATCACATCATAAAAGGAGAAAATAAGCACATATCATTGACAGAAATAACTTGCATTTATCTTTAGCATCAGATTTACAAATACTTAAGCATAGGGTAAAATGTGTACGTAGTTGCTTAAAATTTGATCCAAAAGTGCTAAGTTAAAACAGATAGTTCAGCAACCCAGGAAAACAGTAGTATACACCAACCAGAGCTTCAGTATCAGCTTATATCTTAGTTCAAGAACCCAAAAACTCAAAGAAAATTCCTTCCAAATTTTTGTAAAGAGAAGGAAAAAAGAAAAGCTGGAAGCTGGATTTTTGTTTCAGAAGATTTTCAGGTCTATATGTTGATGAATGTGTGAGTGTGAGTGCAAGTTTTCTTTTCTTTTTATCGAGTGTCTCTAATAGCATCCAAAAGAATATTCTTAACCTAAATTCTGAATAGTACAACATATTGTGACAGAGAATATTGGACAGCTGTCCAATTTTTCAGCATCTTTTTAAACCAATTTTGAACACCTGTTCCTTCTAGAACTTTCCTTTTCCTAGATATTTTCTTCTAAAATTTCTAAAATCCTCCTAAGTTTCTTTTTAGTTTAATTAGGCCCTTACAAGTCTATAATGACTTAGAAATTTGGCAAATAGGGACAAGGCGCACAAAAATCATAATTCAAATCAAAATGACAAACAAGATAAAATAATGCAATTTAAACCTAAAGTATTGAAACTTTGAAAACCTAAACTAATCCTAAACATATTTTATAATGCAATTGAGAACTTATTACTATGAAGAGGGAAAAAACCTATCAAACTTATCAACAAGTAGGTTTAGATGATTTAACTAACATAAACAACCAAACAAACAATGAACATCAAAATATAAGAAAAAGAAAAGATACTGCAACTAAACCTAGATTCATGCAAGCTAAAGAAAAGAAAAATAAAAGTAAAAAGATGGGAAAGAAAATACCCAAACGTTTTGCACCAGTCACAAACTCGGAACAATTTTAATGGGTGTAAAATGAACCTAAACTAACATCAATCGATTGTTCTCATCAAGAGTAATCGACTGATGTAAGTCATGGGTCCAAAGGACCAACCTCGCATGCCCAAATCACAGGCCAGAAACAAAACTAGGGTTCCAAAAATCAGATCCAGAATTAATGAAGTAAGGGTGGAGGTTTTGGGAAATCGACTATGGTTTAAGATTTAGAGGAGTGTGAGGAGTGTGGGGTGTAGCNGGGGGGGGGGGGGATTTTTGGTGAAAAGGTTGGTGGATTAGTGAAGAAGGGGGCTAGGGATTATAGGAGGTGAATTTGAGGCGGTTTGGAGTACTCCGCCGCCGTAAGGCAATTTCAGGGCGGCGGAGCCGGCGAGGGATTTTAGGGCGGCTATGGTTAGTCTCTGAGAGAGAGAAAGAGAATGTTGGGGATGTTTTAGGGTTAGGGGGCTGTTCAGACAGTTATAAGGGAATTATGGCAATCAGTTCCAAGCCGTTAGATCAAAAGAATTCAACGGCTGTGATTGAAAGATGGGGAAACATCATCGTTTTTGGGTAGTGGGGATTGGACCGGGTGGACTGGTCTTTGGGCTTGAGTTTGAACGGGTAAAAGGGAATTGGGCCACTAGATTTTGGTCTCTGGGTGACCCAAATTTGAAATACCAGCCCCTCTTTTATTTTCTTTTATTGCTTTTTTCCTTTCTTTTTTTCTTTTTTTCTTTTTAATTTTAAAACCCTAATTAAATTAATTACGTCTTAAATTAAATCCTAAATTAATCTAACCTATAAAATCAAACTAATTATCTATTTATAATAGTTAAACCTAAATTAGTGAAGGAAAACTTACTAATCTAGCATTAAAAGCTAAAAATGTAAAATGAATGATATTTTTGTGATTTTTATTTTAATAAAGCAATTAATTAACCAATTAATCCTAAAACATGAACACAAAATTTAATATTCAATGCATGATTTTTTTTGACATTTTTGGGACATTGTTTCATGATTTTAACAAAATTAAACATGCAAAAATTGCAAACAATTAATAAATTCCTACAAAAATCCTATAAAATTGAAAATAATTTGGAAAAAATCTATTTCTTTTATTTTGTAGGAGTATCTTTTAGTAGGGCAAAAATCACATGCTCACAAATATACCTGATTGATTTATAAGATTGTATAATATTATTAATTATATATTATTTACACTATATAATCAACGCCCTATATCTTTTTATTAGTACATCATACGTATATATAAGTGGTAGGCTATCTTTTTTGAATTTTGCGACTTTTTATATAGGAAAATATTCCCTTTTTTCGTTGTGTTCTGCTTGTACTACATAGCCAATATAATAAAAAGGAAGATTGTATTATATCACATACTAAATACAGTCGAACCTCTTTATAACAGCATCGTTTGTTCCGAATTTTTTTGGCTTTTATAGTGAATGACTGTTATACACCTATAATAACATTTGACATTTAATATATTTTGGCTGTTTTAGACAAAAATTATCCAAAAACTAATTGTTTTTCTTTTATAATATTATATATAAAAGATTAATAAAATATTTAAATTCAAAATCTCAATAGATATAAATATTTCAGGAATTAAATGCTAAAGAAATCTAATACATTATTAAAAAATTCTTAACTAAAAGCACAAATATTTAAACTCTAAGGCACACAATTAAAAAATACGATTACGTTTACATATTATTGGTAATTGTCCAATATAAGATATATCATGTGTATATCTTCAAATAAAAAAAAAAAGAATGATATGCATATCTTCAAAAAGTATAAATAGATCTTTTAAGTATCTTTTGGCATTTTTCTAATGCAAGATATATCATTCGTAGATCTTTAGTTATAAAAATATTTGATATGCATATGTTTATGGAACATACTGCTATCCTTAAGATAATATATATAGCTATTATCAGCTGTACATTAAAGTTATAAAATATTTTCTTAAAAATTTAGAATTATTATTAGTAATAATCTTAGAAAATCTGCACAACTGTTATAGAGGGGTAATTTTACAAAGAGCGTGCTGTCATAAAGATGGTTGTTGCTATTATAGGCAAAATGTTGTTGTAGAGAGGTAAAATATAACATAAAAAACCGGTTATGAGAAAAACTAGACTTTATAGTGAATGACTGTTAGATAGGGATGCTGTTAAAGAGAGGTCTAATTGTATATTAAAACACGAAACAAAAAACGACAAAAAAGTAAGATTTTTAAGCTCATCGTTGGAGAAGATAATTAATTGGAAGAGAATTACGGATGGAATTGCTTGGATTGATTTTGACGTGCTTCCCGTGAAGAATTCATTTGGTTGGTAAGATTTTGATATGGTATACAAAATTTTTAGCTGCCACAAATATAAATTAAAGTATATTGCTAAGATTTTGTAAGAACTTTAAAATATTGTACACTTACCATTTTTTGTATTTTGTATTAGGCACATAAAGAATAATCTTCTTTGTTCTCTGTCTGCTGTCCATGAAAATGCAAACTACTCCCTCCGTTACACTTATATAGTCAAGAAGACTAATTTACACATCGAATATAATTTCGATATAAAATTTATTATTACTTAATTAAAACATAAAAAATTATTATAAATAACAATAATTAATAATTTCAAACATTTACAATATATTTGCAATTTTTTTTAACTCTTTAAATAGTATGTACATCGCGCGAACAAAATATTTTTGTAACATCATAAGCATTTACTTATCACTTGTTATAAATATCATAATGTTATAAATAGAATTTTATTTAAGGTGAATGTCTATATTCTAGAGAGATTCTAGGGTTTGTTATTTGATGGGTAAGTCACTTTTCCCTTATAAATAGAGGGGTTCTATTTCATTGTAATTGATCCCATATCAATAAGATTCTCTTCTCTCTACTTTTCTCTACAATACTGTTCTTCTTCTTTTATTGTTTCACAACACGTTATCGGCAAGAGACTCTAACCGAATGAGTAGAAGCTTTGGGATTGAGCATAATGATTGTCAATTGTTCCATGAATTTCCTTCGTGATTAAATTCTGGATTTAAGGTATGTATTTTACCGTGTTTTTCTCTTTTATTCTATAATTTGATTTTAAATACAAGCAAAGACAATAAATTTTGATTATAATTCTAGTGGAGTTAGTAAGAAATTATAACCACTCGAAGTGGTAAAATTTCTCTTTCTTGCCATGATTAAATTCATGTATGATTGTGGGCCAAGAATTGAAAAGCTTTCCCATTGAATTTGCTCCATTCTCATCCCCTTAAGAGAATGTGATAGCAATATGTGATAAGTTTGAAAGAAGACAAAATTATTACCGTGAAGGTATCAATGGATGTGGACATGACAATAGACGAAATTATAATCGTCATCATTGTGATAATGAGAATAATAAGGATTTTCAAAATAATCCTTCACTCTATGAAAGTAATATTTGTCATCGGTTTGACATGAGATTTTATAAAGCACATATAGATGATTATGGTCCATTCATGATGTGAATGTGATAACATCTGATTTATGAATACATATTCATTCTTGAAAGAATATGAACATGCTACAGTGGTAGTGAATAAACCACACTCACCTCTAGAAGGAGGTTTGAGATGAAATAAGAAAATAATTTTATTATTATGGCATGAATGGTCATTGATGTCACGACCCCATATACCGGTCGTGATGGCGCCTATCACATTACTAGGCAAGCCAACCCAAACATTAAACACAACCCTTTTTCCTAGTAATAAGTCATTTTCTAACACGGGTTTAAATACTAAAATTTTCATAATAAGCAATTAAAACAACAAAATATATGTAGAAGTCAAATAAACATGAAACTACACAACCCCAAATATCTGGTGTCACGAGTCTAGAGCCTCTAATACATAACTGACTGTCTAATACATCATAAGTCTAGAAATTACAGAAAAGAACAAGATAGGAAGGAGAAAACAGGGCTGCGGACGCCATGCAGCTACCTTGCAAATCTCTAGCAAACTCTGGATCAGCTGAGGACCCTCACTCTGCCGCTCGGACACCTGGATCTGCACACAAGGTGCAGGGAGTAATGTGAGTATACCAACTCAGTAAGTAACTAAAGTAAATGAGGTTTGAAAGCCGTGGCGAGCAGTTAAAAATCATATAAATGAATAAACAACAGGATAACATGTCAACTTCACAGTTTAAAACCAGTTTCGTCAAAAAATCATCAATTTCAGTTTAAATACTTGGAATCATATACTAAGCGATTTCTTACAACAGAGGCTTATTTTAAAAGAAGAGTGAAATCAGTGAAAATATCATAACTGGGCTCCTCGGACAAGGCNTAAATATCCTCACCA